ATGAAATTATGGACCGATTCTTGCAATTTTCAGCAGGAGTCAATATCTTGTGTAGAAACGAACGTATGATGACTTTCATGAAATTATCTTGCATAGTTTTCAAGAAAATTACATCAGAATGTGTAAAAAATGCTTATTTTTTGGAGTTGTTTTAAATTTTGATTCATAACTTTTCCCGATATGAACCGATTTTGCTGATTTTCAATACCAAACTGTACCGGATAATAGTGAATATTTTGGGTGAATTTGGTTAAATTATATTGCTTCGTTTTAACGTGAGCGTGTTTTACACAGACAGACGGACATAGCTAAATCGACTCAGAATTTCATAAGGACTCAGAATATATATACCTTGTTGGGTCTCAGATGAATATTTCTTGGTATTACACACGGAATGACAAAGTTATATATACCCTCTATCACCACTGATGGTGGTGGAGGGTATAAAAATACGTCAATACCTCTTATAGTTAAGCTGTATACGATTTAAATTCTGCGAATTTCGAGAAAAACTATTTTTTTGTAATATTTTACAAAATGTGTCCTAATTCTTTACTTATACATTTTAAACAAAATATTTACGAAATATTATCTCTCAGGTATATAAAATATGTCCCTGAAGTTATATATAAATCGGGAAATCCTAAGGCGTAAATTTTGGAGGTCTAAAGTAAAATTTAGCAATATTTGGAAATTCTCATTAAAACATGTCGAATTATTATTTATTTGTTTGCTATATTTTCTAAAATTACAGGAATTTATAATATATGGTCCGATATTTAAAATAACAACAACAAAAAATATAAAATTATACTAAATACTTATGATTCTTTAACAATAATATGTAAAATATTTACCTAATAGCAACATTTATCACATAATATCAAAATATACGAAGTATGCTCCTACTGCGACCAGGTCACGTTTTTTGTAGAGAAAATTTGTTGTAACTCTGTTTGACTTATTATTCATTTCATGTAAAAACTGAATTGTTTGCATCTTCTCATATATTTTCTAATCATATAAATTTTTCTAATTATATTAACTTTTACAATCAATACAAATAAATACATTTTAATACTCCACATACAAATTAAACATTAATTTAATATACATATGTACATTAAACATTTCTACAAACACAGCTACAGACGTTTTCAATAATTTTCTAATTAATATTTGGTTATTTTTGCATACATTCCTCACATTTTATAATCTTTCAATTCCAACACAAAAAAAAAATTCCGTTAAACGGAGAAAAACTTCGTTAATATTTTTAATTATTTGTGTAAAAAATCTAAAAATACCAAGCATCTCGTAAACAAATATCATTTTATTTAAATAATGGAATAATTGGTATGTATACAAATATGTTATTTAGGAAAAATATTTTTTCTATTAAATGTCAACATATTAAACAATATTGTTTTATATTTTATATTAACATTGTGTAGCTAACGTGATTAATTAAAAAAATCTCTTCCGGAACACTTTATATAAAGAAACACATATGAAGAATTTAGCCGAACAACGGCAGCTTACTTTTACATATGGCTTAATTTTGAAATCTATTAAATGTTAACAAATTAAACAATATTGTGTTCCGGAACGCTTTATATAACAAAATCCATATGAGGTATTTACCCGGCCGGCGTCTGCTACATTATGGCCAAATATTGAAAATTACTCCGCCGGAGTAGAATTATCCATTCGCAACAAAGATTCATTCATTCGTTATATATATTTTTTCTTGAATATGTACTTTTTTATGTTTATTTTTCACAAAAAATTAAGTTTTACTTAATTTTAGGCACTCACTTAAATTTTGCAAATTAATCTGCCGGAATAGAATTTTTCGTTTGAAACAAACATTATTCAATTCAGAATATATTTTCTTCACAAATTTAATATCTTTATCATTATTTTTAATAAAATATAAACATTTTACAAAAATTTTTCATGAAATGAATTCGCCGTACTTATGGTTTTTGACATCTACGTAAACCAAATGCAAAAACAAAATACATGTAAAATGTTGTTGTTGCAGAACAGCCACCACCTTATCTGAATTCGCCTTGGTACATAGTATATGCTCTGCTTGCGCACATTTCAAGTTCGTACATTTTTGCCGGCATGGCATGAATATTTTTTACTACGAATAATTTGTGTAGGAAAATATTTTGATATTATAGGCAAGCAATATAAAATATATGTGGGTATTTTAAATATGTTAGCAAGTTGCTGCGAAATATATTGCTTATGAAAAAAATTTTATATTTGTCTGTAAGCTGCAATATGCAATAGCTTGTATGGGTAAATATCTTTCGCAAAAATACTACAAATATTTTAAATGGAAGCAATTAAATATATTATTTGGATAAAATATGTTTACATATTAATATTGCATACGTATGAATATGAGAAAATGTGCATTTTGGTTAATAATATATTAGTAATTTTAATCTCTGGAAGAAACTTTCTGGTATAAAAAGCGATTATGCAGCCGAAGATGGTAATAATAATGCTGATGAAGAGTTTAAAAATGAAACTGGAGCTATCGCAGATGAAACCAATGCTAACGATACCACAACCGAAGTCAACATAAACGTTGTGTCTTTTACTAAAGCCAGTGCAAATGTGCTTATTAATGCCAACAATGAATATGCCAATGATGTCAATTATGCTGAATGTAATAATGCACAGTGGGGCAGAATCGAAATTTTTTGGAAATAAATCTGGCATTTCTAAACGGCTGATCCGATCGGTATAAAATTTGACGAAAGCGTAGCCAAGGAGTATTCGAGTTTAAGTTTTGAAGATGAACCCCGCAGATGCCCCAGGGACGGCGCTGTGGCGGCTTAAATTAGGGTACCTACGACATGTAAAATGTTTAAACTCGCGCTCGACGAGATCTTGAAAAAACATGCTTGGACATACTACTTATCTCTTATAATATCCGAGTTATAGGCATTTAAAAATTTAGTGATACAAAATTTACCATACCTTGGTCCGCCTTTTTTTGAATACCGGGCGTAATTTTGGACCAAATGGACTCAATTCTTGTTAGTTAGACAACAAAATTTCCAATAATATACAAAAAATTTCAGATCAATATCATTTACAGATCCAAAAATATACGTTTTTTAATTTAAAAATTCAAAAAATTTTCGATTTTTGCCGTTTTTTTACCAAAAATGTGTCTTAACTCTTTTATTAGTTAGTTAGTTTGAAAGGAGGATGAATATACATCAAATCCGAAGAAATACACCTAGGCCTCTATCGGGCCTGTTGTGCGCTCCTTAACCAGTGCCTCAGGTGGGAATCGAACCCACCACCTCCGGTCTACCAGACTAGAACACTAACCACTAACCTACCGGAGGCCACTAACTCTTTTATTAATAAAATAAAATTTTCTTTAAGAACATGTAACAATTTTATAGTTTTCTAAAAGGTATCTTTACGCGAAACGCTTTGGCGTAAAAAACTTGTCCTATTTTTTGAAAATGTTGCCACTGCGTCCTTCCGAATATGACCTATTTTTTATCAAAACTTCAACTTTGGGCGACATGTTCTAAAATCCCAAAGCTGGGATCAAAAACTAAAAGCAGTTTTGGAAACCTCAATATGTTTTCTATTTACTCCAAAAGTATTTTCCCAGCCCTGAAAGAAATGTGGACCCTATGGGCAAAAAAGTAAAAAATCCCATTTTTGGGATTTTCATTCCTATTTTTGGGAATTGCGGGATGCCCTTTGACCTTTTCAATTTTTTTTTTTGCATTTTCTTATTTGAAATGACAAATTTAACAAGCGTTGAAAATTTCATTGAGTTTTGTTCATAAATAAAGATTTTGTCAAAATTTTAATAGGGTCGCAGATAGCTACAACAATTTAGTTCATATTTATTCCTTAATATCTTTTTAGTTAGATATGGAAATTCTCTATTCTTTACAAACATTTTCAAGCCAATATCTCAATTACATTCAAAAATATGTTTATTTAAACCTGTATCCTTTAATTTCATATTTTTCATATTTTAGTATTAAATATGACTGAACATATTTAAATCTTATATTTACCTATTTTCTATTTGTTTGCTTATCCTTATAATTGAAAGGTCCTATTATGCTTAAACATGATTGATGGAAAGGTCAGCAATGCCATAACAGAAATAGGACAAGTTTTTTACGCCAAAGCGTTCTGCGTAACGATACCTTCTAGAAAACTATAAAATTGTTATATGTTATTAAAGAAAATTTTATTTTATTAATAAAAGTGTTAAGACACATTTTTGGTAAAAAAACGGCAAAAATCGAAAATTTTTTGAATTTTTAAATTAAAAAACGTATATTTTTGGCTCTGTAAATGATATTGATCTGAAATTTTTTGTATATTATTGGAAATTTTGTTGTCTAACTAACAAGAAAAAATTGAGTCCATTTGGTCCAAAATTACGCCCGGTATTCAAAAAAAGGCGGACCAAGGTATGGTAAATTTTGTATCACTAAATTTTTAAATGCCTATAACTCGGATATTATAAGAGATAAGTAGTATGTCCAAGCATGTTTTTTCAAGATCTCGTCGCGCTTTCAGAAAATATAAAAATCTTTTTATTTGGGTGAAAAACAAAAACATGGCACGAGTTTAAAAATTTTACATGTCGTAGGTACCCTACTTTGAGCCGCCACAGCGCCGTCCCTGGGGCATCTGCAGGGTTCATCTTCAAAACTTAAACTCGAATACTCGAATACGCTCACGCCAAATTTTATCCCGATCGGATCAGCCGTTTAGAAATGCCAGATTTATTTCCAAAAAATTTCGATTCTGCCCCACTGTGCAGCCTTACTCAAGGTTATTTATTCATATAAACAAACCAAAAATACTCAAATGCTATTTATGCAAGTCATAACTTTCTAATTTCGTCACAATTAAAAGTGCAAAAATTAGAAATTGTCTCCCTGTTAAAAATTGTTTGTATGTACTTTCAACATTATTACATACATATGTATTGTGAAGAAAAATATATTCATCGATTCACACTTAAACGTTGACTTTATTGCAATCTAAAACTCTTCCACGAACATGCTTGAAATTATCAAATAGAGCAACAGGCGATCAACAGTTAATAGATACATACATGTATGTTAAATTTAATAAATTATGCTTACTCCACATTTTTTTTAGTTTTTGTATAAATCAATTTTTCTTGATTAATTTTGTTTAAAAAAGTTTACAGGATAATTACAAATATTTTGCATATGCAATTAATTTGGGTCAACAACCCAGCTGCATGGAACTGTTAAATTCAAGGTTAAATTCAACGGAAATTAATGTTCCGTTTTTTTATTTACACACCAATTATTCTACATTACTCTTATAAAAAAACTATCAAAACTATATTTATGCAAGTCATCAGTTTCTAATTTCGTCACAATTAAAAGTGCAAAAAATAAAAAATTTTCTCCATGCTAAAACGTATTTTTTGTATGGGCTTTTAACATACATAATTACATACATATGTATGTATTATTATACATTCTCAATTTTCAGTAAATAAATAATTTCTTCCCTTCTGCAAGTTCACAATTTTATAAAAAAATATTTTCTTTTCCACAATTTCAAAAAAAATATTATCTTCTTCACTGAAAACAAATGAGAAGGCAGATTTTCTTCTGCCTTCCCATTTCAATACTACTTTTGTCCATTACAACACAATTAAATATTATATTCTAACCATATTTATCGGGCAGGGTGACGATGACCATATGCCCGTTGTAGTGTAGCAGACCAGAGTCTCTGGTGGGAATCGAACCCACAGATACACTACCAACTCCACAGAAATATATTTTGTGCAAAAGATATACATAAATACAAATTAACTATTATATAATTTCAGGAATATTTTTATAATACTGTCTTTTGTCTTTTAAAACGTAATGAATTAGGTAAGATTATACTACAGTAACGATGAAATGGATTTATATTGGAGGAAATGTTATAAATGTAGATTTCAGCAAATTGAGGATCAAAGTCTTTATCCGAGATGTTAAAATTATGTCCTGAATACATAAAACCTTCCGTAAGTTAACTCTTAATACACTATAAATTAGATTATTTTTAACTAACTTAAATTTTACAGATTAACATAGATTTTAATCTGAAGCTAAACCAGTGAAAACCAAGTGGGTTTTTACGGAAAATATGTAATTTGTTACATCTGTTTCAGACTAAAGTACCAAACGTTTCTGTTACAACAATGCTGAAAAATTTGAAGTCGTGCAATGATGGTAAGCTGCTATGTTATTGACTTTTATATAATTGACATTTAACATTTACATAATCACATTTTATTTCTTTTTTTATCAGGATAGAGGATATTTTCTATTCTATATTTCCTCCATTACTTGTTTCCACCTCAGCAGAAATTAGTTACTGAAAAAGTCGGAGTCCAAACCAGAAAAAAGTTTACCGTAACAGATTCTCTTACTTCGTTTGCCATAGTTGCAGAAACCAAAGAGAAGCTGAATATGAAATTAAAACTCCTTAAACTTCAACATAGTACAATCCAACCACGGTTGCTTAAAACTTAAAAATTATTTCTCAATTTTATGTTACTTTAAAAATTATTTATTTATTTATATCCTCAAATGTACAATATAATATTATATTTTATTGTAATAGCATTACATACGTATATATATTTTTAAATAAAATAAAAGTAAAAATAATTTTTTTTTATTATTTGGGGCTGAAAAAAAAACAAGTTTGCCAAAAAAATTAGTCAAATCAATGATATTTTTAATTGAAATTAGCATTAAGTCCAACAAAAACAAGTGAGAGTGTTATATTCGGCTATGCCGAATCTCATATACCCACCATCAAACCGTATGCCTTAAAAGGAATGCTCCCCAATAAACACTCAGTCATCAAATTAACTGAAGAAGATCTTATATGAGAGATAGGGTTAATAATTGACCGTTTTTCATAAAATTTTTTGCACCAATTTAGGTTCATACAAAACATCTTTACATCGAATATCACTTTCCGACACTTTCGCATGAAATTCGTTAGGAAGATTTATGTTCCTATAAATGTTTCCTATATAAAATTTCATAACTGTTCACGTATTTTTAAGTCAGCAAAGATCGTTAAAATAATTTTTTTATGGAAATATCCTCAATACATTTTGTAGAGAGAATTTAACTCGTATAAAAATATGTGTGTCGAATTTCATCGCTTTTCTGTATTCTGTATTTTTAAGCCAGTAATGATCGTTTAAGTAATTTTTTATATAGGGTGTAGGGTCAATTATGGACTGATCCACATATAGATTGATAGAAAGATTTTGGCTTCATTTAAACTTATGTGTGTCAAATTTCATCACTATACCGTAGCCAGTAATGAGCGTTAAAGTCATATTCTGAAGGGGACCTTATAGGGGCGGGGGTGTACGGTCAATTATGGACCGATCAACATAAAATTAGGTAGGGAAATTTTGGATCATATGAAACTTATGTGTGTTAAATTTTATCACTATACTCATATTTTTAAGCCAGTAATGAGCGTTAAAGTCATTTTCTGAAGGGAACCTTATATGGGAGGTAGGGTCTATTATGGACCGATCCTCATAAAATTTGGTAGAGAGGTTTTGGATCATAAGAGACTTTTTATGTCAAATTTCATTGTTATACTAGTATTTTTAAGCCAGTAATGACCGTCAAACTAATTTTTTGAAGGGGACCTTATATATGGTTAGGGTCAACTATGGACCGATCCACATAAGACTTGATAGAGAGATTTTGGCTAAATTGAAACTTATGGTTGTCGAATTTCATCACTATACTCGTATTTTTAAGTCAGTAATGAGCGTTAAAGTAATTTTCTGAAGGGGGCCTTATATGGGGGTTAGGGTCAATTATGGACCAATGCTCACAAAATTAGGTAGGGAGATTTTGGGTCATATGAAACTTATTTATGTCGAATTTCATGTCTATACTCGTACTTTTGAAACAGATATGCCCATTAAAGCTGTTTTTCGGGGGTCCACTTGTATGGGGGATATCCGAAAACGTGGACCGATATTGCCCATTTTCAATACCAAACAAACCTTACCTATAGAGAAAATTTCAATCCTCTATCTCGTTCCTTTCGGACTCTATCGTGCTTTCAACAGACAGACAGACGGACATGGAATATATGTATATACTTTTGTGGGTCTATGACCAATATTTAGATGTGTTACAAACGGAATGACAAAATCAATATACCCCCCATCTTTTTTGATGGTGGGTATAAAAATGGTTGTCTTAATAAAAACAATTATCAATTTTTTTTCTAATTACTCAACAAATTTTATAATCAAACCAACAAATTATTTTATCGAAAAATAAGTAAAAAATTTAACAAAAACTATAGTGGGGAGGGTATTATACGTTTGTGTTGATGTTTGTAACGCATAAAAATATTGGTCATACACCCACCTTTAAGAGTATCGATGGACTCAGAATCACTTTCTGAGTCGATTAAGACATGTCCTTCCGTCTGTCCGGCTGGCTGTCCATGTAAACCTTGTGCGCAAGCTACAGGCCACAATTTTCAAGATATTTTGATAAAATTTGCACCATACGAGTTTTCAATCGTTTTCAAGGACGATGCCTATTGAAAATGGTTGAAATCGGTCCATTATTTCACCTAGCCTCCATACAACCTTACCTTCCGATTTAGGGTTTTTAACTCATAACTACGTCAAATATACTACTCATCTCTTCAAAAATTAGCTCAACTAAGGCCTAAATGACCATGCCAATTTTTATAATGATCGGCCGTCGTTTGACCCTAGCCCCCATGCAAATCCCCCTTTAAAACATAACTTAGACGTCCAAAAATTTACTTATAACCATTAATATCGCGATGAAATTCAGCACAACTAACCATTATATAAAATTACATCCCCCAATTTGTTGAGGATTGGCCTATATTTGACCCTAACTCCCATGTAAAGCCTCCTTTAGAAATTTAGTTTTTCATCAATAAATAAATAAATTCGTGGGTAATGCACACTGTTACGTATATGTAATGTCTTCTAAAATCCAAAGCAGGTAACATAGAAAAAAATTAAATTTCAATCGGTTTATATTAGGGTGATCGATTATTCGACATTTTTCAAAACCCGGTTTTCGAATAGTTCGAATAGTTGAAAAATCGGTTGATATTTTTCAAATTCAGAAAAAACCGGTTAACCGGTTTTTCATTATAAATTAAAAAAATATATTTTAATTTGAAAAACCTAATGTTTATGTTTAAATTTGATTAATAAAACATGGCCCGAAATGATTTTTAACAGTTTAAAAGATTATAACTTTAGATCTAGTCGTCTGATTTACATTATTTCTTTAATATACAAAATTAGGAAAAAAGTGCTTATTTTAAAAGCCCTGTTTAGGAAATTTGCATAGGCATTCCAACACTTCCATAAAATTTCAGCCGTAAATTAATTATTGTAATTGGAATATAATCTTAAGATTGATAAAATTTTATCAAACAGTTATCCATTTTACAAAAAAGTTTAACCAAAGGAGCTGTAGAAAAATATACGCTAGTTCCTCGACTCGAATATTTTTAAAATTTAGACGGGCTGTATTATTATTTACTTAAAATTTTCATTTAAATAATCTTTGAATACAAAGCAAATAAAAGTATTCGAAACCGGTTTTTAAAAAGTGAAAAGACCGGGTTATTCGATATTCGAAAAATCAACATTAAGAAAAAACCGACACTGGTAAAGCAGAAAAACCCGGTTTTAAAACCGGTTGAAAAATCGAGTCGATCACCCTAGTTTATATACACAAGAAAACTGTCATATCCAAATTTCACATTTTTACCTTACGTAGATCGCCGTAGGCAATTTCATCACTCTACTCGTTTTTTAACTCAGTCATGAGTGTAATAGTAATTTTTTGAAGGGGACCTTATATGCGGGAAGGATAAATTATGAAACGAACACATACAATTTTGTACAGAACTTGATTATGTATGTCGAATTTCATCGCTATACTCGTATTTTTAAATAAGGAAAACTCGTGTTTTAATAAGCAAAACCCTTTCCTGAAAGGATCCTTATATAGAGGCTATGGTCATTTATAAATTAATCCTCATTAAATTCGGAATGAAGAATTATGTTTCTAAGTATAAACTTTTTATGTCGATTTTCATCGCTGTACTCAAAATTTTCTGAATCATAATCATATAATTAAGTGAGGAGGTCCTTATATGAGGAGTAGGGTGAATTATTGATTGTTTTTATAAAATTGTTTAGATATTGGTTCTTACATCGACTATCATCGCTTTACTAGCATTTTTATGCCAGTAGTAATTAGTGTTAAAGTAATTTTTTGAAGGGCTTATATGGGCGGGTAGGACGAGTGACACTTTCATCATGAAATACGGTAGGAAGATTTAAGTTCCTATAAAAGTTTTTTATATCAAATTTCATAACTATACACGTATTTTTCAGCCAGCAATGATCGTTTTTTTTCTAAAGGGGACCCTATATGCGGGTAGGGTAAAATATAGACCGATCCTCAATAAATTTGGTAGAGAGGTTTTGACTCGTATAAAACTTATGTGTATCGAATTTCATCGTTTTACTCGTATTTGTAAGCCAGTAATGAGCGTGAAAGTATTTTTCTGAAGGGGATCTTATATGGGGGTAGGGTCATTTATGGACCGATCTACATAAAATTTAGTAGAGATGTTTAGACTCCTAAAACACTTACATATGTTAGATTTCATCGCTATGCTCGTATTTTTAAGTCAGTAATAAAGCTTATTTATGTTAAAGCCCATTAAAGCTGTTTTTCGGGGGTCCACTGGTATGAGGCTATCCGGAAACATGCACCGATATTGCCCATTTTCAAAACAAACAAACCTTACCTATAGAAAATATTTGCGGAAAATTTCAAAAACACGGACGGACATGGCTATAACGTATTAAAATTTAATAGGCACCGAGAATATATATACTTTTGTGGGTATCTGATCAATATTTCGATATGTTACAAACGGAATGACAAAATCAATATACCACCACCATCAAATATGGACCAAGCCCGATAAAGTTTTGTGAATATATTTATATTTACATAATATTTATTTTTTAAGTTAATTTTCGACATTCAAGTAATTTTCGGAAGGGGACTTTGTATGGGAGCCAGGGTCAACTGAGGCCCGATCTTTATGAAATTTGGCAAAGTCATCAAGGCTTGTAGAAAACTTAGTTGTGCTGCTTTTTATCGATATACAGGTATATTTAATACAATTATAAGCTCAGAAACCCTTTTCGAGGTGTTCTGTTGTATGGGGGCTAGGTGAAATAATGAACCGATTTTAACCATTAAAAAAGAGTGTGTGCCAAATTTCATCCAATTATCTTGAAAATTGCGACCTGTACCTTGCGCACAAGGTTTACATGGACAGCCAGCCAGACGGACGAACGGACATAGCTAAATCGGCTCAGAAAACGATTCTAAGCCGATTGGTATACTTTAAGGTGGGTATAGGACGAATATTTTTTTATGTTACAAACATCAGCACAAACCCAATATACCCTGTGGTGTA